ACACGATCTCTCTTTCACATGAAATGGCAGCATCAAAAACTTTGTAAAAGCGATAACAAATTTTGGTTGTTCATCTAAAAGTAAAATTTGGCACACAGAAAAGTACGGCGGATATGAAAATAGATATTTTCACTTGACTTGATATCAGAAAATTAATGTTATGGAATAAGTTCAGAGATAACATGAATCCTCTTGAAATGGCAGCAAAGGACCCATTTGTGTTTTTATTGTCGACGCATTTCTTGGGCCTCACAGTGCTTAAATCTCTGTTTTTAATAAGCTATCATCGCCACTTAAAATGCACTTCTAAAAATTCTCATTTGGATTTTTTTTTTTTTTGGCAACAGATGTGTGTATTTCGATCATGGGTAACATCTTTTGGTAGCTACAATCGGCGACCAGGTTAACGAGCAATAGTGTGTGTCTCAAAGATTTTTGAAGATATCAGAAATAAACTGAAAAATTTGTATTCGGCATTTCACCATAAGTGATTTAAATTTCTCTTTGAACATAAATGTGTCTTGATTATTAACAAACTCTAGTCCAATGGTTTCCAAATGGTACGGCATGCATCATGGGTGTGGCTGGAGATAATAGCAGGCGAGAGGGAAGAGGATAACAGGTGAGGCGGAAGACGATAGCAGACGCGGCGGAAGAGGATAGCAGGTGAGGCGGAAGACGATAGCAGGTGAGGCGGAAGAGCATAGCAGGTGAGGCGGAAGACGATAGCAGGTGAGGCGGAAGAGCATAGCAGGTGAGGCGGAGGCGAGGTGAGGCGGAAGCATAGGTGAGGCCGAAAAAGGGCAGGTGAAGAGGAAGAGGATAGAATGAGCGGAAGAGGATAGCAGGTGAGGCGGAAAGACGATAGCAGGTGAGGCGGAAAGGATAGCAGGCGGAAGAGCATAGCAGGTGAGGCGGAAGAGAGCAGGTGAGGCGGAAGACGATAACAGGTGAGGCGGAAGAGCATAGAAAGTGAGGCCGAAAAGGATAGCAGGTGAAGAGGAAGAGGATAGCGGTGAGGGATAGCAGGTGAGGCGGAAGAGGATAGCAGGCGGAAGAGGCCGAAAAGGATAAAAGGTGAGGCGGAAGAGGATAGCGAGGCGGAAGAGGATAGGGGAGGCGGAGAGGATAGCAGGTGAGGCGGAAGAGGATAGCAGGAGGAGGAAGACGAAGGTGAGGCGGAAGAGCATAGCAGGTGAGGCGGAAGAGGATAGCAGGTGAGGCGGGATAGCAGGTGAGGCGGAAGTGCATAGCAGGTGAGGCGGAAGAGGGCAGGTGAAAAGGATAGCAGGTGAGGCGGAAGACGATAGCAGGTGAGGCGGAAGAGCAGGTGAGAGGCGGAAGAGGAGAAAAGGATAGCAGGTGAATGGAAGAGGATAGCAAGTGAGGGAAGAGGATAGCAGGCAGGTGAGCAAGTGAGGCTGAAAAGGATAGCAGGTGAAGCGGAAGAGGATAGCAGGTGAGGCGGAAGGAGATAACAGCTGATGCGGAAGAGGATAGCAGGTGAAGTGGAAGAGGATAACAGGTAAAGCAGAAGGATTGAAAGAAAATCAGAGATTTAGAAACAATTTGAAAAAAAATCATATGCCACAAATAAATATGATTTCAAAATTTAAACTATATTTTTTTTAACATACAACGTGTGTTAGCACCTTCGATACTCTATCTTCATCAGCCGCCGACCAGGGGTGATCTCACGGTTTCGGTGGCTATGGCGTGACCGCCACCCCTGGCGCCACCAGCAGCGTTTGCTACCAGGCAGGGTATGAAGAAAATCTAATTGATCGTTCCTCTTTGTAAATTCTCAATGAAATAAATAAAACGATTGTTCCTCTTTGCAGCTTCTGTCCGTAATGAAAGTTCCTGAACGCGTTTGCCGTTATTGACGCGCTCGTAAAAATCGTTATAAACGACTACGCAAATATTTCACCTGCGCATGTTAGGTCGTGATGATGCGCGCATAATATTTCAGTAATGTTTGTTCTGATCGTAACTTTCCTTTCTGGATTTGTCGTCGATTTGGTCGTTTTTCCTCATTTTTTATCTTTCTTTTCCATTATTTGGTCCAAACCACTCAAAGCAAACGTCATATATTATTTTACAAAAGGAACTGATCTGTTGCCATATCGGACTCTTAAGATTATTATTAAGGATAAAAGAAAGCTCTTTGTCAAGATGAGTCCAAACAGCCTTACTGTTACCTTTGGGCCACTGGATTCTTGGTTTACTTAGGATTTCTCCAGGGTGCTGTCGCTCAACGATGGAATCCTGAACGCTGTGGGTGTAGTCCAGATTCATAATCCCATCACTTGATTTACATTCTCCGATAGAAGAATTACGTTGTTTGCACCAGCGGGCCTTATGGATACGTAAACCGCGTAAACCGTTAAATCCTCTGCCGCAATCACACGTTGTAGCCGGGTTCACATCCAGGTTGTTTCCATTAAAATCAGTCTGATGGGTGATATATTCTCCCTCCCCGCTACAGTCACCCAGAGGGCATTCTACGTCTCTTGTATTCTTCATCCTTTAATGTAAATTCTTGTCTTTCCAAGATGTCACTCCAAATTTCTAGAGGGTCACTTCGTCTTTCCGAAGAGTCATCTTGCTTTCCAGACAGTCTTGGTAATCAATTTTTAACATACAACGTGTGTTAGCACGTGCGATATTATTATTGATTACTTATAATTTGCATACATGAGGCCCAGTATAAATAGTTATAAATAATTATTGACAAATTTTATCATTGGGATATTTTTTAATTATATCAAGTATTAAGAATATAGTAACTAGGGTCTGCAAAATGGAGGACAGAGGTATCAATGATAATGTTCTGATTTCGAATCCGCAGTTATCTCCCTTTAACCTTCTCTCTATGGATGTTCATTGCTGTAGGGCTGCTTAGGTTTTTTCACCGGGACTTTCACAAGGATTTTCTCTTCTGACAAATATCAAAAACAACAACAAAAAAAAAAAAAAGAAAAAAAAGGCTTCTTTGTGTTGATGAGAAGATGAGAGTTTGTTTATCTCAAATTAGGCCTAATATAAAGGAGATTACCCATCAAAAACAAGCTCATACCTTTCATTAGATTTATTATAAGTTATTTGTTATATATTATATCTAACACGTTATTAGTCGTTGTTTTCTTTTTCTTTTAAATGTACTTTTTATCATATAAAAATTGCAAATTTTCATTCCGAAAATCCGGACCAGAGAAAAATATTTGAAACCATTGGTCTAGAGGTTACTAATATATTATTAATATAATATGAATGATGCTGGAAAAATGTCCTGTTTCTTGCACCGCTTCAGTAAGTACTGGACTCCTGATATGCTCTATCTTTACAAGAGCCAAATCAGACCAAAATGGAGTATTGCTGTTAAATCCTCACTTTTCAGCCTTGATAGAGTTCAAAAACGCCTACACGGCCTTGTGGATGAACAATTATTTTCCACCCTATAAACTGTTTCTCCACAGACGGGGACATCGCAAGCTTCTCATTTGCTATTTCCATGGCAAATGTTTTAACAAGCTGCATTCCGTGGTTTCGCTAATACAGACGTTCACAGCTAAAACCCGGCAAACCCACGTGCACTAGAACGAATCATCGCCATTACCTTTGCATTCCGTTAGTAAGGAGGAAGTGCTTCTCGAATAGTTTCTTCCCAAGAATCGCTACTGTTTTTGGAACAGACTCCCGAGAGGATGTTTTCTCGATCACTACAATCTTAACATTTCATGTATAAGGTCAACCGTTATCTCTCTTACATGACCTCATATGCTGCATTTCTCACACCCCTCTTACGCTCATACAAAACAAGATTTAATAACCTTCTATCTTGAGTGGCACTTTGGCCTTATATTTAGTGAACATTAGTAAAACAATAAACAAATATTTATCTTATATGCTATGTACGTATCTTAAAATCTAATGTCCGATTTCTAAATTCAGATTGGAAATAAGCGCACTTGATTTTCTCTTGTACAGAGTCATTTTTACGGCTTATCAACCCTTTGCAGGCTATTTAAAGCCAGAATCTTTTTAGAATGTAAGATTTTTTTGAGACAATAATGATTTACTGATACAAGTCTTACTAATTAACCTATAGCAGGGGTGGGGAAGAGGTAGGTTCATACCTTTCCTAAAGGTATTTGCGCATAAGTGAATATAAGCAACCCAACGAGAATTGAAACTCGGCTCTCCAATTAACAATTCCCAGGCATTCTCCATTACAAAACCCGCACATCCAAGCTTACTGCACCTGATATTCCCAAGCCGTCACCCATCTAGATACTGACCAGGCTCGGCGTTGCTTAACTTCTGTAATCGTACGAGGACCGGTGTTTCTACGTGACATTGGCACTATTAGAGCCAAACGATTGATTCGAAAAGATACTGTTCCTAATTGGACCAAATTATAAAATAACTTATTTGATAATGTGACAGTTTATTATGCAACTGGAGTATTTCAGGATGTTATGCTTATATATATATATATATATATATATATATATATATATATATATATATATATATATATATATATATATATATATATATATGTGTGTGTGTGTGTGTGTGTGTGTATAAATATATATATAAATATATAGATATGTGTATATATATACATATATATGTGTGTGTGTATATGTATATACATATATATATATATATATGTATATATATATGTGTGTGTATATCTATATACACACACACACAAACACACACACACATATATAGTACGAGGGTAAGTCAAAAATTGTCCACACTTTTGCCATAACATATTTTTTAAGTTTGTCACACTGTCTTCTGCGCATGCGTGCTTATAGCTGATATGATTGTAGTCATTTCGGTGATCCGACCTGAACCGGTGTTTCAACGTGATATTATCGTAAGCCTGTCATTTGCGTGGGTGGCAAACAGAAGTTATTTTTGGTTGCTGATATTTTCCTTTTCTAATTTAACAGTTAAGTTTTTATTTTTAATAAATTTCAAGCATGTTCTGCTATTTAAAATTTATTTGCTCTTTTACAGAATGCTTCAACTGTACGACAATAGAAGCACTTAAAGAACGGGTGAATGATCTTGAAAGTAAGGTAAAGTATTCCAGTTTTTGTTATAACAGAAGTCGGGAGACCAAAAATAAATGAAGTTAAATCATGATTGTTATTTGATGGCACATTAACACTTATACGAGTATTTTGTAATAAAGAAATAGTTTTGTAAGCCGATATTTATTTGTACCCAATGTTTTGATTATATGTAACAAAGAAACTTTGCCATGCGGAAATAAAGAAAACATTTGATCTCTGCGTAGCAATGGATATGTCAGAAAACTATTATGTTGAGTCATAGATAATGTCCGTTTTTTTATCAGCTTTATTCTTCAAAATATAAAATACAACTACATTTTATTCAATTGTATATTCCCCATTATTTGCAATGACTTGTTGCCACTTAACAGGTGGCTCTTCGAGACCTTATGAGTAAAATTCTGTAAATTTTGGTTTGGTTTGGTTTGATTTGGTTACGGAACAACAACACTTTATGAGTCATTTAATGCCTACATTTAATTTTCTTGGGAATATTAGTAATTTTTTTTTACAAAATATATCGCTGGTAATTTTTTTTTGTCACAAAAAATGCATTGTGTTAATTTTTTTCTTACAAAAATATAATGCGGGTATTTTAATCCTTACAGAACTGTATTACTGGTAATTTTTCCTACTATGAAAATGTATTGCTGGTATTTTTACATTAACATTTTTTATACTTTCATGGTGTTTTGACTCCAGTTTAGGGTTAACTATAGTTGGGGCCCTAACAGTGCTGCCAACCTAGATCTGGATGGACTTGGGAACAACAGCAATTAAGAGGTGGCTCTTTCTCTTCAAAATCTCCCGATCAGCGACCTTGCTGCCGAATGTAGTTCATCGTCATACCCAGTATGATGCAGATTTTGGCATGAAAAAGTTTTCGATGACCTCTTGCATCTAGTTTTCTTTCAAGAAAACTTACTCCATGAAGAGTTTTGCATCGATCGAAAAAAAGTAATAATCAATTGGTGCAAGGTCAGGTGACTAGGTGGGGAGCGGGGGGAGGGGGGGAGCGGGGGGAGCGGGGGAGCGGGGGGGTTACACTTGCCGTATTCTGAGTTGCGTTATCATGCGCTTTTTGACCCAACATTATATGCGTACGTTCTAGCTGCTGGACGTATAAGCGAGCATTTAGTGTTTCACTGCGTTTTAAAACTTTAAATGAATAATATCTCGACGATTCCACTACACACACAACATTACTTCTTTACCACATACATTAGATTTTACGGTCATGATGTATATTTATCCTTGTCAATCCACTGCCTTTTGCGATGAACATTGTTGTATGCAACCCACTTTTCATCACCTCTTTAAGCAACGGTTAGTTATGATGATATATTCGTCATGACAACTGATTCCCCAAAACAGAAATTACTTGTTGCTTAGCCTAATTTCAATAACAATATAGGATATGTCATTAGTCTATTTTGTAATGATGTGTCTTCATAACATAGACAATCACGGTCCTCCACGGTTTCTCTATTATGTGGGAAATGACATTACTCTTTGGAGGAAGAGTAGACGGGTTTCTTGTTGCTGAATTCATAATTCACTTTTTGCTAGATCCAAGGTTATATCAGTCTACTCTAATATTTAACCAATAGCTGGGAAGGAAAGAAGAGATGGGTTCATGCCTTTCCCAAGGTTATTAGTGCGGCGTGAACGCAACAGAATTTGAACTCGGATCGCCAATTTTCACTCGGTACCGATAACCTTTTCCCTACCTGCATATATTTAGTTGAAACTGTTAAATTTATTAATTGCGAATAATCTATAGGATTTAACGCCTCAATAATTGTTGGATAAATCATGTCAATAATCTCTCATTTCAGATGACCAACTCCTTACCCAACTTCCATGTTAGCGGTTGTGACGATTGCAAACAGGAATTAATCCCAGAGAAAAGAACCCGTTACTTGAAAGGTCAAAAAGGTGAATCCGGCCAAAAAGGTGAACAAGGGCCTCCGGGCCCGCCTGGCTCAAGAGGAATGAAGGGAGAGAGAGGTCTCACTGGGCCGACTGGAATTCCAGGTCTACCCGGGGATTATCGCCTTAATGAGGATTATGTTAAGACTGGGGAGAGACAAGTAGGAATTGTGGGGCCACCAGGGCCTAGAGGTCCCCCCGGGCCTCAGGGACCAGCAGGCTTGCCTGGTAGAGGTATACCTGGTAGGGATGGGCCTCCAGGACTACCAGGTTTGCCTGGAGAGCCGGGATTACCTGGAAAGTTTATTCGAATGACAGAACCGCACAGTATTTATATATATATATATATATATATATATATATATATATATATATATATATATATATATATAATTATTTTAGAATTATAACATGTATGTTGTTTAATTTCTAGTTTGGTTTTATGACACTCTACCTTTAAGTTCTCCACCATATACTTCCTTTTTATCCTCAAAAATTATTCTACTAGAAGAGTTTCTGGATAACCTAGACTCTATTCCATTAGGGATGTGCTTTATTATGTTCTGAGGGTGGTTGGATCTAATCACGTATTTTAATTTTGCGTTCGGATTCATGTATGGGGAGACACTGCCAGTTTGAAGATTTAATTCTACGTCCAGATAGTTAACAACTTTTTTTTTTATACATTTCAACTTCTATTCAAAGCCGAGGCTTTTGAAGAGTTTAAAAAGCGCTTTTCTAATAGAGTTATTTGTTCTTCTGTTGTTTGGTACTATCATCAGACCGTCATCTCTATACAGGACACGGTTGTTTATATGGACAATTTTGTTAATTTCATGGCTGGTTTTAACATCTCTTGGCAGATAGCCAACCAAGGCGGAAGAGCTTTCATCTGCTCATGAACAAACCAACCGGTTTTGAATTCATAATTGTCTTTCTCCTCTTCTGGTTGCCAAACTAGGCTAAATAGCCCTGTCTGCTCTGCTATTTAACCCATAGCTGAGTTTAAGGTAATAAAAGACCATTGATTTTAAAGAATGACTTATAAAAATAAAATTCAAATTGGCACATTTATGGAAACCTTCTGAAGCGATTGGTTAACTTTATTTTATATTTTGAAACTAATTTAATCGAATAATTCCTGTTTTTTTTTTTTACATTCTCATTCCGTTTGATTGTAATTTGATGTTGATTCCCATATTTTTTGAAGTGTCAATGCTTCTTTTTTTGCGCAGGAAACAGAACAGAAACTGTCAGCGAAATCGAAGAGAAACTGAAGGTAAATATTTTATCCATTTGGATTTCTTTTCTATTTCACAAGCCATTTAATAGACATATACAAAACTAAAAACACAATATATCCTGAAACGCGTAGAATTCTTATCAAGCCTCTTTTAAGAACACATACCCGATTATTATTATTATTACTTCCTTTGATTTTTGTTGTATACTGTTATGGGAACTTACCTATAACGATAATGGACTCTTCCTGACACTATAAATGCTGCACATCTCAAGAGGTATAATGAATGAATGGTGTAACGAGCACCAGTTCATGACTGTTGAACTCTCTGCTTTGGCAGAGAGGAACCCAGACGAAGCTTTGCCGAAGGGTTCAAAGGCGGGTTCAAAGGGTATATTTTTGGCCGAGCCTATGGGCTCGGGAAACTCACGTTAAACTTGGCCTTGTGCCACATGCAAACCTCGTGGGAGGGGGCTAGATACCGAATGAATGGTGTAACGGTGTAATATGCCGTCTAATAAGACCTCTTACTGATCGGTTTTTTGGCACGTCGTATTTGCCATATTATTACCTGGATTATTACCTGATCTCCATTTCGTTCTGTTAAGTCTGTTTTTTTTATTTTACTTTTTCTTACTTTTTTCAATTTTGAACTGACTGATTTTTGAAAAGTTTGTGATTTTTTTCTTTTCCATTTCTTACCCTCCCTATTTTTTCTTTTGTTTTCTCCCTTCTTCTCTCATTCTTTTATTATTAGCTTTTTGATTTTCTTTTATTTTTAAATTAATATCTTATATTTAACGTTTCCTTTTAATTTTTTGTAATCCCCTGCTAAAGTTTATCTGTTTTATTTTACGTCAGACTTATTATTTTTTTTCATTGTTTACGTTATTACGTGTTATATCGTTCTTTGTTATTCTTTGTTTTCCCTTTTTAAATATCCGTTAAGTTTTCTGTGTTGTACTTGTGAAATATTTTATGTACATATTTGTTTTAATTTTCTTGTATTTTAATTTTTGTCTAATTTGTTCGTTTTTTTTTTTTGTTTTTTTTTGTTTTTTTTTTTTTGTTTTTTTCGTTAACGGCCAGACTTGATATTTTAGCGGCCATCTTTGTTTTTGTTATTTGTTAGTTTCGTATTAGTTCCGTATTTTCTTTCGTGTTCTCGTCCTAATACTGTATTATTTATTGTTGTTTGAATTTATTTTATTTTATTCCTTTTCGTTCGCTTAACTCCGTCTTTGCTGTATAATCCTTTTAAAAAAAGATTTTGTAATTGTCTTGTATATTAATTTTTGTCCGTCTTTTTTTTAAAGTTCAACGTTTTATTCTTGTCTGTATTTTGCGTGACGTGTTGTCTTTAGCACGTCTGTTTTATTATATTTGTTTTAGTAATTTATTTATCTTTTTATTTCCTTAATACTTTATTTTTGTAAAAAGAAAAAAATTATAAAAAAGTCTTTAAGCATATTAAAAAATCGGTGCCAAGAAGAACGTAAAAAAAACTTATTTAGGACTAGGAAGAAAAGACTGAGCCACCCGATAAATTGAAAGAAAATAAAAATACAGAAGTAGATAATGAATCGTCAACAAGTATGGTGGCCGATAATGGTCAAAAAGTTCAAGAAAACAATTTGGCGGAAAAGAGGGAAAATTCTTTTATTCCATCTGAAAATATGGAAGCCGAATCAGGCCAAAATATCCAAACCAAGGAAAACAATATGAAAGCTGAATCAAGCAAAGAATCTTCTTCAAGAAATGACCTGAAAACTGACAATACCAACAAAGTAGCCCTCTTGCTGGTCGTCCCCACCTAAATGCAGTATCAACATTACGGAGTTCCTTCAGAAAGCTAAAAGCTACGCCCATCTTGTTACAAAAGATGGGCTCTTGACAAATCTTGAGGAACTACAGAAGGTTGATAAAAGAATTGTGTCGGTCTTTGTGGTGGACAAAGCGTTCGCGCAAAATTTGTCGCTTCACAAAAGACACCGTCATAAAGTCATTGACGTCCCTAGGGATTAAATCACAGAGAGTCATTAAAGGCAAAGGCTTCTTTATGTGGGACATACTGTTACCCACGCCTGTCGACTGTGCAGCGGTGAGCACTCGGGACCTAATAACAAAAGATCTAATACTGAGGACCGAATATCAAGGCAGGCGTAGGACCAACGTTTCAGTTTATGGGGTCCCTCCTCAGATTGTCGGCGAACACTTGGCCGCCTATCTGTGCCAATTTGGCCAGATGATGGGTGCGTCCTCCGACGATCTGACCGGGGGATGGAGTTTTGAATTGATGGTGGATCAAAAGGCCTTCACCTCCATCCCCAACTGCCTGGTTGTTGAGGGCCAGAGGATGCCAATCATAGTCACAGGTCGAAGACCGGCTGGCTGGAAGTGTGGACAGACTGGTCACCTGTCCTCTTCCTACCCAGAGAGTTCTGCCCCCCCCCACCGACCCAAATCCCCTCGGTCCAGTCCTAAGATCCTCATCTTCTTCCTCAAAACTGACAACATTAAAAAAAAACCCCATCAGAGTTTCACCCGCCCAAGTCCATACTTCTACTATTAGCCCCAAACCATCCCCTGTCAAAACTCCGGCAGCAACTCCAAAAAAGGTTGAAACTACCAAAAGGCAAAGAAGCCCTTCTCCCGAAAATCTAGACACTACATCACATAAAAAACCGAAACCGATTTTCAACACAGGGGAAGACGTGTGCCGGGTCTCCAAACAACTAGAGGACAAAGCCCTTCGATATTCCCCCCAAAAAAAATGATGAACATCAAATCTCTTGTAAATTTTCGAAAAATAAACAACTTAGACGTTGAAAACCCCAAACCGGAGGCAAATGAAGTTTTTGGCATGTTTCCGCCCATGACCTGCTTTGACAACGACAGTGTTAAAAATTTGCAACAATTTTGTTCAGGGAGGTTCCCTCTTTTTGTTCACCCCTCCCTTTATAGAGCTTTAGAATTAACTTTCCCTCTGGACATTGGCGGTCTGTCTCCCGACGGTACCATTAAAACTGAGATGGGAACAGGCTCGATGGGAGAGGCCGTTGGTGTCCTTTCTCCGTCCATGTTCAATGTAGGAGAGCTACACTAATCGGTTTCATTATGGCTCTCTGGTTAGCTAGTCTGAATGTCCGAGGCCTGAGGGCGGAGTCTCGCAGGGGGTTCTCCCTCTATTCAGCATGTTTTGATGGTCGTTCGAGAGGTGTCTCTTGGCTAGTGAGCAAGTCTTTGAAGGCTGCGTGTAAACTTGGCTCTTGCCATAAAGAATAAGGCTTTTCGTCTCATTGGGGTTTATGAGCCCAATATCCATTCTGAGCGGCCGGCTTTGTTTCGGCAGATCGAGCCGTTTTTGACGACATCTCGTCGGGTAGTTTTAGCGGGGGATTGGAATGCCGTCCTTGACCGCGATATAGATCGTATAGGGCCAAATTCGGGTACTAACAACTGGGACGTGAAACCATTTCGGGACTTTATCGACAGGTTTGATCTTGTCGGTAAGTACCGGAATGAGCACCCTCGGGAGGTAGTTTAGACTTGGACAAATAGTGGCAGCTCGGATGCTGGGGCTGTTTCTAGCTACCTCGACCAAGTTTTAGTTAAGAGAGTCAATGTAGGGCTCTTAGGGTGTCCAAGTTTTCATTATATAGTTTATACGGCCCATAGGCTTCTCCGGGTCCGTGTAAACTTAGATAAGCCTAAGGTTAGATTGGCTGGATACTGGAAATTGAACTGCTCACTATTTGGTGAGCAGGATTTCCGGGACCAGCTGCTACTAATGATCCAAAGAGAATTGACGGGGGCGGTTGTTGGGAATGCCTGGTGGGACAATTTAAAATCGAAAATTAGAACGTTTGCTGCTGATTTTAGCCGTCTACTCAATCTAGATAGATTAGTGGCGCAAACGGCTTTAGAGCAAAAAGTAGATCGGGCAGTGAAATCCCGTGATAGTGGGATAATAGCCTTAGCTAAAGCAGAGTTGTCCTCCTTGCTTATCAAGAAGGATCAAGCTCTGGTAGTTAGGGCTAGGTTAAAAAGAATGTCCTCTGAGGCGACGAATATGGCCGCTGACTTGCGCACAAAGGAGTCTCGGAATGCATCTCGGCGACATATCGCGTGCGTGCGTCACATTGTCGGATAAGCGGACCGTGACTTCAAACGCGGGCATATGTGAGCCTTTTCGTGACTACTTTCAGGAACTTTTCACCAGGGAGCCCGGTCTGAGCCCTGCTCAGTTCGACGACTATTTAACCGACTTCCTCTGTCTTGAGGCAGCTGAACCAGATAGGTGCGAGGGTCCCATCACTGAGTTGGAAATCTGGGAAGCGTTGAAACAGGTTGGCCGGGATAAATCTCCGGGATTAGATGGTCTTCTCTACGAAGTTTACTTGAGGCGGTCGCCCGTTTTTGTTCCTTTGCTGGAACTGATTTTCAACAACTGGATGAAGCAGGGGTCTATACCTTAGCGCTTCACCAGGGGTGTGATCAAGTTGCTACGCAAGGACAAGAACGGTGGGGATGGGATAGGTAATTTTCGCCCTCTAACTATGTTAAATACAGAGTTAATGATTTTGGCAAAGATCTTAGCCAACCGTTTGCAGGCTGTCCTGTCTAGTGTGATTGGCTCCGAATAGACTTGTTCTGTGAAGGGTAGAACTATTCAGGACAACCTTCATATGGTACGCTTGATCATTGAGAAAGTCAACAGTGAAGCCGCGCTGATCAATTTAGATCAGTCCAAGGCCTTCGATAGGGTTGACCGTCGATTCCTGGTGGCTGTCCTTTCGGCGGCCGCTTTCGGTCCGTACTTTCGCACCTGGATCCGACTTCTGTATGCGACTCCCGGTGCGCTTGTGGAGGTGATCGGAGCCTTTCGTATTGTCTCGTTCCATTCGTCAAGGTTGTCCGCTTTCGCCTTTGCTTTACGTTCTTTCGTTGGAACCTTTAACTTGCATCCGGATATTGTTCTTCCTGGGTTGAACTTGAGCAACCCATCCCGAAATTAGGTTAGTGTAGGTTTTGTT